AAATAAAGAAATAAAAGACTGGTATAACCTTAGAAAAATAGGGGTGAATATTAAGGTAACCACAAAGGAAACTAACAATTCTACAAGTCAAAGTAAGAAACAAGAAAAATATAAAGACTCAGCAAATACAAAATCAACAACAATGAAAAAGATGAAAAGAAAATACATAAAGAAAAATGACTCAGCACAGAAAATTAAGTGGAACAAAGACACTGTCAACCACACACAAAAAAAGACATCAAAATGACAGCACTAAACTCATACCTATCAATAATTATGCCGAATATAAATGGATTAAATGCACCAATAAAGAGAGAGTGGCAGATTAGATAAAAAAAACACAATCTGTGTATATGCTTGCTGCCTACAAGAGACAGACCTTAGACTTAAAGAAACAAACAAACTAAAACTCAAAGGATGGGAAAAAAATATATCAAGCAAACAATGCCCAAAAAAGAGCAGGAGTGGCAATATTAATCTCTGACAAAATAGACTTTCAAGTAAAATCCACCACAAAGGATAAAGAAGGACACTATATAATGATTAAAGGGTCTATACACCCGGAGGCCATAACTATAATAAATATTTATGCACCCAGTGACAGAGCTCCAAAATACATAAAACAAACTCAAACAGCACTGAAAAGAGAGATAGACAGCTCCACAATAGTAGTAGAAGACTTCAACACACCACCTTCGGTGAAGGACAGAACATCCAGAAAGAAGCTCTACAAAGACATGCAAGAGCTAAATGCTACAGTCAACCAACTTGATCTCATAGGCATACACCAAACACTCTACCCAACAGCAGCCAAGTATACTTTTTTTCCAACATACATGGAACATTCTCCAGAATAGACCACATATTAGGCCATAAAGCAAGCCTTAACAAAATCCAAAGCATTGAAATATTGCAAAGCATCTTTTCTGACCATAACGCCATAAAAGTAGAAATCAATAACAGAAAAAGCAAGGAAAAAAAATCAAACACATGGAAACTGAACAACACCTTGATATGGGTGAGGCTGGAGGCTTCTCCTGACTCAAGTAGCTGCAGTGGTTGACAAACCCAAGATTGTCAGGTCAGACAGCAGGGCTGTGGCTCACAGGGCTGTGGAGACCAACGAATCCCAAAATCGGCAGGCAAGATGGCAGGTTAGATGCTAGCTCAAGTCCCAAGAACCAGAGGTCAGATGAACAGGAGCCAGCTGCAGGATCAGGAGCAAGCAAAAGCCCAGGAGCCTTACCAGAAGTCTACCTATATTGGATGCAGGCCACACCCCCAGGGAAACTCCCTTTCAACTGTTTGGCTACTCACAGCAGATCCCATCATAGAGGTAATCACATTATAGTAGATCTCATCATGAAGGTGATTACATCATTACACAACTGCCAAACTACATCATAACTGCCAAACCACTGAGAATCATGGCCCAGCCAAGTTGACACACAAACCTAACGATCACAAATAGTAAAACTGAATTTTCCCAGAATGCAATGAGTGAGGGCAAGCTAGAATGAGCTAGTGAAAATTTTGACCTGGAGAATAATTTAATAAAAGGTTATCTTTGGGTCTTTAAGATTAGATTGCTTTGCTTCACATCTTGGTTCTGCTACTTAATATCTTTGGACCCTTGGATAAGTTTCTTCACTTCGCATGCCTCGATTTCTTCATCAATAAAATGGGGCTGTTATTAGTAACAGCTCATATGACTGTTGTGAGGATTGAATGAATTAATGCTTGTAAAGTACATTGAATGGTACCTGCCCCAAGAAATGAACTCAATAAAAGCTAGTTAATATTGGATTGTTATTACTATTAAATAGTAATGTAAAGTGACAACAATGCGTTGCCAGATTGTGTAGCGTCGGCAGATGACATGGTTGTTTTATTTTTCAAGTAAATTTATAAAACAAATATGCCTACATTACAGAAGATTTTTAAGATAATAGAAAGGAAAAGAAAATCACCGGTAAGCATAAAAAAACCCTAACCCTGCTGTTATTAACACTTCCTTCTGATCTTTTCTGTGTTTCTGTTTAAAATCCTTCAGTGGTCTCCTCATTGTCTACAGGATTAAGTGCAAATTCCTTAGCATGACAAATGATAACCTACTTCTTCTCACACCTGGGCTTCAGACTCTCCCTAACACACCATGCAACCCATTCCTGTTTATATCCTTGTGCTGTTTTTTTTTTTTTTTTTTTTTGGCTCACACTGCTTGATTTAGTCAAAGTCAAAAAGCATTTGAAAATTCTAGACTCTAAAGTTACAAAGTGCTCAGTCCGGTGCCCCATCTGACTAGTAACCCATTTTCTCCTTCCCTGTCCTCAGTCTGTCTGGCAAACAGCTGCTCACGTTTGAATCTGGTCAAATGAGCCCTCCTCTGGGATCTTTCCTGTTGCTTTTCCTAAGTAGAATTGATAGCTTCTTTTGGGGGGATTCTTTTTGCCACCTATCCAATGGGACCCTAAGCAGACTTCTATCAGAACACTCTAACACTGTAATAAGGAGTCCTGGTGGCACAACAGTTAAACGCTCAGCTGCTAACCATCAGGTTGGCAGTTCAAACCCACCCAGCAGCTCCATGGGAGAAAGACCTGGCAATCTGCTACCATAAAGATTACAGGCCAAAAAAAAAAAAAAAAAAAAAAACCCTATGGGGCTGTTCTACTCTGTCACATGGAGTTGCTATGAGTTGAAATCAACTTGACAACGCCTAACAACAATAATGCGCATATTGTTTTCTCATGCATCTTACCCCATTGGACTCCAGGCTTCCTGAGGTCAGGGAACAGATCTAATTCATCTTTGTTTGTTTCTTTGTTAACATTTTATTGTGCCTTAGGTGAAAGTTTACAGAACAAATTAGTTTTCCTTTCAATAATTTATATACATATTATTTCGTGACATTGATTGCAAGCCCAGCAAAGTGTCAGCACTCTCTCCTTTTTCACTCTGAGTTCCCCGTGTCCATTTGTCTGGTTTTCCTGCCCCCTCCTGCCTTCTCTTCTTTACTTTTGGGTAGTTGTTGTCCATTTGGTCTCGTATACTTGATTCTTCTAAGGAGCACGTTCCTCACGAGTGTTATTGTTTGTTTTATAGACCTGTTTAATATTTGGCTGAAAGGTGAACTTCAGAAGTGGCTTCAGTTCTAAGTTAGAAGGGTATCTAGGGGCCATAGTCCCAGGAGTTCCTCCAGTTTCTGTCAGACCAGTAAGTCTGGTCTTTTTGTGAATTTGAATTTTGTTCTACATTTTTCTCCTGCTCTGCCTGGGACCTTCTATTTTGATCCCAGTCAGAGCCTGCGGTGGTGGTAGCAGGGCACCATCTAGTTTTTCTGGTCTCAGGCTAGTGAAGGCTGTGGTTCATGTGGTCCATTAGTCCTTTGGACTAATTGCTTCCTTGTATCTGTGGTTTTCT